TCTCTACCTCCCCTTCCTCAGGGCCCTGGCCCTGCCTGTGTCCCCTGTGTCGAGGGGCGCCAGCGTGCTGCCCCTCACTCCTCCCAGTTTCCTCCGACAGAGGCCCCGTTGCAGACGCTTCACATGGACGTGTGGGGCCCAGCCCGCGTCCGTGGACAGGGTCAGGAGCGCTACTTCCTGCTCGTTGTTGACGACTACTCGCGTTACACCACAGTCTTCCCCTTGCGCAGCAAGGGTGAGGTTACTGAGGTGCTGATCGACTGGATCCGCGCAGCTCGTCTTCAGCTCAGGCAGAGCTTTGGCTCCGACTTTCCTGTGCTGCGTCTGCACTCTGACAGAGGCGGAGAGTTCTCCTCTGGCCTTCTGCGTGCCTACTGTCGAGCGCGAGGCATCCGCCAGTCCTTCACGCTTCCGGACTCCCCGCAGCAAAATGGGATTGCTGAGCGCCGCATTGGCATGGTCATGGACGTCGCCCGTACGTCCATGATGCATGCGGCTGCCCCCCATTTTCTGTGGCCGTTTGCGGTCAGGTACGCAGCGCATCAGATCAACCTCCACCCCAGGGTCTCCAGGCCGGAGACCTCCCCAGCCCTGCTGTGGACGGGGAAGGTTGGCGATGCGTCGGCGTTCCGGGTCTGGGGATCTCGGGCGTTTGTCCGCGACTTGTCTGCGGACAAGCTGTCCCCTCGCGCTGCTCCCTGCGTCTTCCTGGGGTTTCCCCCCGACGCCCCTGGGTGGCAGTTCTACCACCCCACCTCTCGACGTGTTCTGTCCTCCCAGGACATCACGTTCAACGAGTCGGTACCCTACTACTGCCTCTTCCCCTACCGCACTCCGTCCCTCCCCCCACCCCCGCTCTTCTTGGTACCAGGTCCCCCCCCGGTAGACCCCCTCCCCCCTCGGGGTCCTGCCCCTTCAGGTGTGTCCCAGGTAGACGCGGTCGAGCCTGTCGAGGTCACTGGTGACTCTGGTGCTGCTGCGGGAGCTGAGCCTGGGGGTGCGGAGCCTGGGGGTGCTAAGCCTGGGGGTGCGAAGCCTGGGGGTGCTGAGCCTGGGGGTGCTGAGCCTGGGGGTGCTGAGCCTGGGGGTGCTGAGCCTGGGGGTGCTGAGCCTGGGGGTGCTGAGCCTGGGGGTGCTGAGCCTGGGGATGTTGAGCCTGGGGGTGCTGAGCCTGGGGGTGCTGTGCCTGGGGGTGCTGTGCCTGGGGGTGCTGAGCCTGGGGGTGCTTCGTCTCGCCGGGAGCCACTCTCCCCTCAGGAGCTGCGTGAGTGGTTTGCCAGGCGTTGGAGGCGTGCTGCTGGTGCTGGTGGCTCTTCGGCTGCAAAGGGTACTGCTGCGGCGCGTCCCGGCGGTGCTCGTACTGTGGGTGCTGGAGCTGCTGGGTCTGAGGGTTCTCCTGGAGCTGGTGCTGCTGAGGGTGTTGGCGCTGAGACTGCCGCTGGCGGTCCGACTGACAGTGCTCCTGGTGCTGCTGCTGGAGGTTCTGGAGCTACTGGAGGTGCTGCTGGAGGTGCTGCTGGAGTGGGTGCTCCTTCTGGGGGTACTGGTGCTGTTCCTGCTGTTTCTGGCGTCGCCGCGCGGCCCCGACCGTACTTCGTTCCGCTCCTGCAGCAGGTTCTTGGTCTTACACCTCCTCCTCCCTTAGAGGGTTCACTGCCTGTCCAGTCACAGCCACAGCTACAGCCTGCCTCCCCTTTGCCTGCTCCTTCTCCCTACGCTGGTCCGACTGGAGGTCTTACTGAGCGTCGTGAGCCTGCGTCTCGTCCTGCGTCGCCTGTTTGAACTGCGCGCGCTAGTGGTCGCGGGTCGCGTCAGCGTCCTCCTCCTGTCCCTGGCACGCACCGGATGTCACTGCGTCCGTCCACTGCTCCTCTGCGTGCCCCTTTGCCTTCTCCTCCTGCTTCCTCTCTTCCTGCTCTTGCCGACCCGGAGTCGGACTCTCTTCGTGCTGCCAGTCCTACTGTCACGCGTCTCCTTGCTAGTGCTGTCACTGACCCTTCCTTTGAGTCGTCTGCTGCGTCTGCCCTTATCACTGAGCTTGTCGACTTTGCTGCGCGCTGTCGTCTAGACTACGCTGCCAGTCTTGTTGCTGAGTCTGAGTCTGCCTGTCCTCCGTCCGTCGGGGGTGAGTGTGCCCTCGGCACGGACGTCCTTGAGGACAGGCAGGAGGAGTTCCAGTGTCTGGCCGCCGCTTCACCTCATCTCGCGTCTGTACTGCTAGCCCCTGAGGGAGACCCGGATGCACCAGACATCCCGACTCCGCGCTCTTACGCGGGGGCGATAGAGGGTCCCTACTCCTCTCAGTGGCAGGCAGCTATGGATGCAGAGATGGCTTCCTACAAGTCCACAGGCACCTACGTCGACGCTGTTCCCCCTCCTGGGGCGAACATCGTCAGTGGCATGTGGATTTTCAAGGTGAAGCGGCCGCCGCGTTCTCCGCCTGTCTTCAAGGCGCGTTACGTGGCTCGTGGCTTCAGTCACCGGCAGGGGGTTGACTACTTTCAGACCTTCTCCCCCACCCCGAAGATGACCACTCTTCGGGTTCTGCTGCACGTTGTTGCTCACCGTGACTACGAGCTGCACTCTCTCGACTTCAGCACAGCTTTCTTGCAGGGCAGCCTGCACGAGGAGATCTGGCTGCGTCGCCCACCTGGCTTCACTGGGTCTTTCCCTCCTGGTACCCAGTGGAGTCTCCGCCGTCCAGTCTACGGTCTCCGCCAGGCGCCACGTGAGTGGCACGACACACTGAGGACTACGCTCGCGGCACTTGGGTTTGCTCCTTCTACTGCCGACCCGTCGCTGTTTCTGCGCACCGACACCTCTCTGCCGCCGTTCTACATCCTCGTGTACGTCGACGACTTGGTCTTTGCCACAGTTGACACTGCTGGACTCGCCTACGTGAAGTCCGAGCTGCAGAAGAGACACACGTGCACTGACCTGGGTGAACTGCGTAGCTACCTTGGCTTGCAGATCACCCGGGACAGAGCACGCCGCACCATTACCCTGACTCAGTCACACATGGTGCAGCAGGTCCTTCAGCGCTTCGGCTTCACGTACTCCTCGCCTCAGGCCACTCCTCTGCCTACTCGCCACTCGCTCTCAGCTCTGCCTTCGGATGAGTCCGTAGAGTCGAGTGGCCCGTACCCAGAGCTTGTTGGCTGCCTCATGTACCTGATGACCTGCACACGACCTGACCTTGCATACCCTCTTAGCATTCTCGCACGCTATGTTGCTCCTGGGAGACACCGACCAGAGCACATGGCTGCAGCGAAGAGGGTGTTGCGCTACTTGTGCAGTACGTCGGGCATGGGGCTAGTGCTTGGAGGGCGCAGTCCAGTGGTCCTCACTGGGCACGCAGACGCTTCTTGGGCTGACGACCAGGCTACGCAGCGGTCGTCACAGGGTTACACCTTCAGCCTTGGTTCCGGCTCTGTCTCGTGGCGGGCTACCCGCTCGTCTTCTGTTCTCGGCTCCAGTTGTGAGGCTGAGATCTACGCTGGGGCTATGGCTGCACAGGAGTTACGCTGGCTCACCTACCTGCTGACCGACCTTGGAGAGCAGCCTCGTTCTCCTCCAGTCCTGTACGTAGACAACAAGGCCATGCTGGCCTTGTGTCGAGAGCAGCGACTGTAGCACAGGACGAAGCACATTGCTCTCCGCTACTTTCTTGCTCGTGAGCTACAGCAGCGTGGACAGTTGCGACTTGCGTACGTGGCCTCTGAGGCCAACACTGCTGAAGTCTTCACCAAGGCACTTGCGCCTTGTGATCATCAGCGTTGTTGCACGCAGTTGGGTCTTGTGCCTGTCTTGCCTCACTTGCTCACTTCTTGACCTTGCTTGTACCTTCACCTATATATACTCTTGCTCTTGCTTACTTGACTCTTGTATATCTCTATATATGATCTTGCATGTGAACTGGCCTTCTGGCCTTTGAACTTGTGCTCGGAATGTGTGGTGACTTTGTGATCCACCCTGAGCTTTGCTTTGCTTTGCTTGACTGGTCTTGTGACCCCTTGTTCTCCCCCACTTTGCCTATGGGGGTGTGTCACAACATTATAGCTTACATATTTGTGTAGGCTATAGTGGGGTATCCCATAGGGGGTACAACCCAATTAGGGTTTCCTATTTGTACTCACTTCGTTCATAGTCATTTCCATTCTCGTTCATTTCTTCTCACTTGCCTCATTTCGCCCTTGCCTCATTTTGCCCTTGCCTCATTTCGCCCTTGCCTCATTTCGCCCTTGCCTCATTTCGCCCTTGCCTCATTTCGCCCTTGCCTATGTCCTCCCTTGACACTGTCCGCACTTGCTCCGGGGCAGGGAGTCGTGGAGATATTCGGCCACCGTGACAATGCAGATGGCTTCCAGCTGTTTGCCCGTCCGGTACACTCGGTGGCGGGACGCTTGTACACAAGGCCGGAGACTGGTCTTCTGTGGGAAGCCGCACAGGTACGGGACTGTGTTTCTGGGTTGTACCCCCTTTGTAACTAGTTTAAGGCGTTTCTCATCTGGGTTTCTCCAAATGGGGCCGGCCACAAATCACAATCCTGTTTCCCACGTTGCTCAGTTATTGTGTTGATCTGGAACGAAGCTGCCCTTGTTGTGTTTGTTGTTGGCAGAACGCCCTGGACGAGATCTATGGCCCGGGCCAGGTGGTGGCCCCCATCATACTTTCAAGTGATGCTACGATTCTCAGCGGGAACGAGCGCGTGAAGGTTTGGGCGGTTTACCTAAGCATCGCCAACATCCACCTCCGTCTCCGTTGGGGTGATTCGGGGAAGATTCTGCTTGCACTACTCCCAATGCCTGTCCATGGAATGACGGCCGAGCAGAAGGTGCAGCTCTTTCAAGCTGCACTGCAGGTGGTCCTCGCTGACCTGATTGCCGCATCACACACGTGAGTGCCAGCAGCCATTGGCCCAGCCAAAGCCGCAGTCCGCCCTTCACTCAGTGGTTTTTTATTGCCTTAACACGCCCTTGGCTCTTTCCGTCATTGCGTCAATGTGCCCTTGGCTCTGCCCACCTGGCATCTTTCTGCCTTTGCCTCTCTTCGTCGTTGCCTCAATACTCCCTTGCTACAGGGGGATTGCGGCCCGCGATCCATGGGGGGTGGACCGGGTCATATGGCCTCTGCTCTTCTCGTACGTAGCGGACTTCCCAGAAACCTGCAAGGTTTCGTGCACTCAGCAGCATGGCAGTCATATGCCATGCTCCCTGTGCTACGTGGATAGGGGGCCGCTCAGGAACATGACGGCAGCTGCGTCGGAGTCGCGCTCTGTGGACCAGCAATCGTCACTGATTGCCAATCCTCGGCTGGCCAGGACGTACTCCACGCTCTGTGTCGCGGTATGTATCGGCTCTAAGTTGGAGGTTTGCGCCTGTCGTGGCCTGGTTGTTCAGCCCATGCGGTAGGCACCATGTTTACGTCGTTTTTGCTCTGTGCATGCAGTCGTTCCTCTGGGAGTGGAACTTCTCCCGTACACTTTGGGGGAACACCTACCTCTCCCAGATGCCAGACATCCTACACATCATCTACCTCGGGTTCTGGCTGTACCTTCGCGCTGCACTGCGTGGCCCTGATTCCCGCGCCACCACCTTAGATAGGTACGTTTGCCCCTAGGCATTTGCTAGGCGGGTGTCCAGCTCGACTGTCCGCCCCTTGCCTCTGTCCGCCCTTTGCCTCTGCCCGCCCCTTGCCTCTTCCCGCCCTTGCCCTGTGGGTACTTGCTCTGTCCGCCCTTGCCTCTGTCCGCCCTTGTCAATACGCATTTGCCTAATGTGATGCAACCTCACGAGGTCAAACCCACTGCGATTGGTGCCCAAGATGTCTCCGGCATTGTTTCACTATTGCTTGCTTTCGTTGCTATCAACATTCTTCATATGGTGCAGGCGTCAGAATGCACTACACCCAGGCGCCAGGCAGGCGGGACTGCTAACTCCTGGAGACGCGAGCTACTGGGTCTCTGGTGCCAACTTCACCACGTCGGAGCATGCCGCTGTCATGATGGTGCGTTCCTACCATCTAGTTTATGCTCTCGTACGAGTGCCCAATGCACGTGACGGTTGTCAGATGGCATTTGCTGACTACGCACTTCCTGTGTGGCAGATTGTACCATTCGTGCTGGAGGGGGAAGTTGCGGTCATTTGTAGCCGCACGATTGTCGCCTTTCTGGACTGGCACGAGACTTTCGTGCGGGCTGCGGAGCACACGGATGAGAGTCTGAGTGCATTCGACACTGCCACTCGCAGGTATGCTGTGTGTGAGCTTGTCCTCAAGCGCTGCAGTTGCCGCCAGCGTTATGCGGGAGTCTAGTCTAATGCTTGACACTTATTCTCTTTGTTTCCATGCTTTCAGGATGGTGCAGTTGGTGGAAAGCACCTTTCCACGCAAGCACTCTGGGTGGAACCTTGTGAAGGTGCACCTGCTGCTTCACCTTACTGAGGCGATTCGAAGGGGGGGCCTGCCACGAGAGTACTCCGCGGCGGTGTACGAGAACGCACACATCCGCACCTGCAAGAGGCCGTACCGACGGTCCAACCATCGGGACGTGGGGCGTGTGATTGCGCAGCACAACACCAACGCTGCTCTACTGACCCGTATCCCAACCAACCTCGAGGGCAACCGCCAGTACAACACCGCGATGCGCCGGGTAAGGACGCATGTAAGGATCCCTAATGTGTGCTGTAATTATGCATGTCGGGTCATTCCGCCATTGCCCTTTGCCTCTGTCCCCCCTTGCCTCTGTCCCCCCTTGCCTCTGTCCCCCCTTGCCTCTGTCCCCCCTTGCCTCTGTCCGCCCTTTGCGGTTGTCCCCCCTTGAATCTGTCCGCCCCTTGCCTCTGTCCCCCCTTGCCTCTGTCCGCCCCTTGCCTCTGTCCGCCCTTTGCCTCTGTCCCCCCTTGAATCTGTCCGCCCCTTGCCTCTGTCCGCCCTTGCCTCTGTCCGCCCCTTGCCTCTGTCCGCCCCTTGCCTCTGTCCACCCCTTGCCTCTGTCAACCCCTTGCGGTATGACTGAGGGGTGGTGATAGTTTAAAGGCTTGTGGGCTGAAAGACGTTGTCTGGCCCCATCCGCCTGTTTGGCGGGTGCTGAGTTGCAGACCATGTGTTTATTTGCCCCCCCACACCCACATGTCATCACACTGCAGGCAATCGCCAGTGGGCTGCCCCAGCTGTGCCGCCAGCGATCCAGGATGCACAGCGCGATCACGGACAGGGAGCAGGCTCCCCTGGACCTGTACGCGACGTACGATGCCGCAATCCCGGGAGGCATTGGGCCATACGCCTACTTGACGCGCCTCTTTGGCTACGTCTCTTTTCCGGCGTGGGTAAGTACTGGGTTCTGTTGCCCCCATGACAACACCATGCTCGCTCTCCTTTTCCACCATGTTTTTGAACGTACTACCACCCTGCCACGTCTCCTGCCCCCTTACCCCTCTCGTGCCATCAGGTCCACACGGCGCTGGCTCTACCAGCCCGCGGGACGGACCACGGCCTGATCAGGCCACACTATGTCCGCGCCAACCCCTCTCACCACGGTGCTGCCACATTCTCGTTCATTGAGTACGAGGATGGGACTGGGGAGACCGTGGTCGGCCGCGTGCACCTGCTCCTGACGCTGATGATGAACAGCGAGGATGCACACCCCGCGGGAGAGGCCGTGGCCTTCGTGAGGCAGTGGTACCCCTCCCTGGAGGACGAGTGCACTGGCTGCATGAGGATGCGGCCATCTGATGACGAGCTGAGCTACGACCTTGTGCCGGTCGCCTCCGTGCAGAGGACCGTGCACATGGTGGAGTCGTTTGTGACGCCTGGCCTCTGGTATCTTAACAGGTGGGCTGGCCGATGCCGCGAGGAGTTGCCCTAAGGCCGCCCAGGAATATGCAGTGAATCAAGGTTCTTCTTTTGTGCTGGAATGATTGTCACCAAGCCTTCTCTATGGTTTGGTTGCTACTAGGAAAGTGGAGATGCGTGTCGGTACTTGCCTCTGAAATCTATTTCTTTCCAATTGGGTGTTATCGTAGCTTGGAGGGGTCCCTTGTGTGGCTAGTAGTTGGTGTGTGCCTTTTTTAAATAATATTTTATTCTGATGGACGTGAAGTTTTTTGTTGAATCACAGGCACAACACTATGTTCTTAACTCTTATCGGATGCTACAGTTTTGAGATGTTAACACGGAAGCTTGCAGAGCGTATACCAACCCCAGCTGGAGACACAATGTGAAAGGGGTTGCATTGGTAGTAGCTAGCGTGACAGTGCGCAGGCAATGCCTGGGTCGGAAAAATTGCTTCGGGAGTGCACACAGCTTTCGAAGCCATGCCCCAGCGCGCATGGCTGATGGATACGCCGGATGTTGACAGGTTTTGGGCGTCCTGTTTTTTGTGACGAACTTGCTGCTGGAATTACGCGAGGGTTGGAAGGAAAACGAGATCTGAAGGCTTACTGCTGGTTGGGTTATGTTCCTCTTCGAACCTCTCGTCTGAAGAGTCTCTGGGCTGACAGACGAGGGACTGAAGGAACAGAAAGCCCCCGAGACTCGGAAACAAAAGAGGTCCCCGAGAATCTCAGGCCTTGGCCTGGGGAGGACTGCCCTCCTTTTCCTCTCTTTCGCTGGAATACGGAACCCATGTGCTTGGGAGACGTACATCTGGGCCTGGAATACCTAAGGCTTCCACTCGCTATGGGTGAGAAGAACACTTCGTACTCTGCAATGACTCGTGCATGCTATTCCACGTCAGAAGCGACCCAGCTCTGGCCCAACATTACAAAGTGACTACGTGGAATGACTGGCCGTGGTTTGCGGCAAATTCTAGAATCTCGATCAAAGCTCCAAATCCCCGTGCAGCAACTGCTCAATGGTTGTTCAGCTTGAAACCTAGGTGACTCTCTTGAAGGGTGTAATGCTGAAACTGCAGCGGAAGGTCGAGTTGGGAAAGTCCGTTCACCCTCATCAGCGAAGTCGGCTTTTCCGCTTGCTTCGTCTGGTTACCATGTTTAGCGTTTTCAGAATATACATCTTTGGGATGACTTTTTGTTCCCGTCAGATAGTCATGAAAAGACGAGGTAGAAAATGACGATCACGATTACTTGCGACGAATTCTTCTCGCACAATCCCAAGGCAATTCCCCCCCACCTCCCCCTCCTCTCGTCTCCCCAGGAATATATGGAGCCCCAGACGGGGAACGTGCATTTCCGTGGCGACATAGACAAGCGCACGCGAAATAGACTTGCGCCTGGCAAAATTTTGGATTTGCCCCACGAAAAAAGACAGGACGCAGACGGGCGGATAAAAAGCCCACATGTAGTTATAAATATATGGCTCACGAAATTTCGCCAACATTTCGCACCGATTTCGTTCGGCGTGAACAGTGACGCAGCGACGGTCGCCACGAGGGGGTCGCGCAGAGATGTCGCCAGTAACATGCAGAACAGTCAAGATTAGCAGATTTTGGTGCTTACATACAGAATAAATTGCACAATAAGGATCTGAAACAAGCTGAAATGGTGTCCTCAGAATGGGCTAAGTGTTGGGAGTTTTCTAGCTGGGTGTTTTTTTAAATAACACGATAGATTTAGCCATCCTATACCTTACTACAATGGAGAGATTTGTTAAAAACACCTTTAAGGGTGGTTTGTGGCTCCAAATGCCTGCCTTATGGCGTACCTTTAAACGGTGATAACTGATAGGTTAGTGATGCAAATAATCTTCTGAATGGCTCCAGCATCTTCCCTAGACATCCTCTACAGTGTTGGGCTGAAATGTTTTTTTTTTGTGAAATTCACCAAAACCAACATAGCAAGCTACTACAATGAAGCTCCAAGCACATGGCAACTCATTCTCTAGCTGTCATGGACAGTTGTAAATTTTAAGCACGTTATTTTTTGGTTTTGAGGTTTGTGCTACTGTCATCACCAACTATGTTGGCTGTCTGCTTACTCACGTTTGGTTGCTTCAGCAACGTGCACCATTCTGTGTCACAATCGCCTGCTTACCCATTTTGCTTTGCAAACCATTGTCCTGTTGTCCAAATGAGGTGAGTTTTTTAGGGGAGTATCATTCCATCATTGTAAGATACTGTACCAATTTTCAGATCAATCCAAAAACAAGAAATAGGTTGTTAATGATGATTTCTGCCGTGGTGACCTTGACATAGTATAAGTCTTAAAGCACAAACCAAACCTTAGAATTAAGCTCTGAAACTCATAGGGGAGACTCATCACAATAATTATAGATTCCCCTATCATTTTCAAGCCAATCCAATAAGGTTTGATATGCCTTTTATGCATTGTCGTGAAATATAAGCCTGAAAATTCTGCAGATTTGCCTGTGTTTGGGTTATGAAGCAAAACACAAACCAAACCTTGGAATTAAGATCTGAAATTCATAGGGGAGTCTCATCACACTAATTCAAGATCCCCCTCTCATTTTTAAGTCAATCCAATAAGGTTTGATAGGCCGTCCATGCTTTGTTCTGCAAGATAAGCCTGAAATTTCAGCAGGATTGCCTGCGTTTGGGTGTTGATGCAAAGCACAAACCAAAACTTGGAATTAAGCTCTGAAACTCATAGGGGAGTCTCATCACACTAATTATAGATTCCCCTATCATTTCCAAGTCAAACCGATAAAGTTTGATATGCCTTTCATGCTTTGTTCTGCAAGATAAGCCTTAAAATTCTGCAGAATTGCCTGCGTTTGGGTTTTGATGCAAAGCACAAACCAAACCTTGGAATTAAGCTCTGAAACTCATAGGGGAGTCTCATCACACTAATTCTAGATCCCCCTCCCATTTTCAAGTCAAACCAATAAGGTTTGATATGCCTTTCATGCTTTGTTCTGCAAGATAAGCCTGCAAATTCAGCAGAATTGGCTGCGTTTGGGTTATGATGGAAAACACAAACCAAACCTTGGAATTAAGCTCTGCAACTCATACGGCAGTCTCCTCACACTAATTCTAGATCCCCCTCCCATTTTCAAGTCAAACCAATAAGGTTTGATATGCCTTGAGGAAAACTGAACGAGAATGAAATGACTATGAACGAAGTGAGTACAAATAGGAAACCCTAATTGTGTTGTACCCCCTATGGGATACCCCACTATAGCCTACACAAATAAGTAAGCTATAATGTTTTGACACACCCCCATAGGCAAAGTGGGGGAGAACAAGGGGTCACAAGACCAGTCAAGCAAAGCAAAGCAAAGCTCAGGGTGGATCACAAAGTCACCACACATTCCGAGCACAAGTTCAAAGGCCAGAAGGCCAGTTCACATGCAAGATCATATATAGAAAGATACAAGAGTCAAGCAAGCAAGAGCAAGAGTATATATAGGTGAAGGTACAAGCAAGGTCAAGAAGTGAGCAAGTGAGGCAAGACAGGCACAAGACCCAGCTGAGTGCAGCAGCGCTGATGATCACAAGGCGCAAGTGCCTTGGTGAAGACATCAGCAGTGTTGGCCTCAGAGGCCACGTACGCAAGTCGCAACTGTCCACGCTGCTGTAACTCACGAGCAAGAAAGTAGCGGAGAGCAATGTGCTTTGTCCTGTGCTCCAGTCGCTGCTCTCGACACAAGGCCAGCATGGCCTTGTTGTCTACGTATAGGACTGGAGGAGAACGAGGCGGCTCTCCAAGGTCGGTCAGCAGGTAGGTGAGCCAGCGTAACTCCTGTGCAGCCATAGCCCCGGCGTAGATCTCACCCTCACAACTGGAGCCGAGAACAGAAGACGAGCGGGTAGCCCGCCACGAAACAGAGCCGGAACCAAGGCTGAAGGTGTAACCCTGTGACGACCGCTGCGTAGCCTGGTCGTCAGCCCAAGAAGCGTCCGCGTGCCCAGTGAGGACCACTGGACTGCGCCCTCCAAGCACTAGCCCCATGCCCGACGTACTGCACAAGTAGCGCAACACCCTCTTCGCTGCAGCCATGTGCTCTGGTCGGTGTCTCCCAGGAGCAACATAGCGTGCGAGAATGCTAAGAGGGTATGCAAGGTCAGGTCGTGTGCAGGTCATCAGGTACATGAGGCAGCCAACAAGCTCTGCATACGGGCCACTCGACTCTACGGACTCATCCGAAGGCAGAGCTGAGAGCGAGTGGCGAGTAGGCAGAGGAGTGGCCTGAGGCGAGGAGTATGTGAAGCCGAAGCGCTGAAGGACCTGCTGCACCATGTGTGACTGAGTCAGGGTAATGGTGCGGCGTGCTCTGTCCCGGGTGATCTGCAAACCAAGGTAGCTGCGCAGTTCACCCAGGTCAGTGCACGTGTGTCTCTTCTGCAGCTCGGACTTCACGTAGGCGAGTCCAGCAGTGTCAGCTGTGGCAAAGACCAAGTCGTCGACGTACACGAGGATGTAGAACGGCGGCAGAGAGGTGTCGGTTCGCAGAAACAGCGACGGGTCGGCAGTAGAAGGAGCAAACCCAAGTGCCGCCACCGTAGTCCTCAGTGTGTCGTGCCACTCGCGTGGCGCCTGGCGGAGACCGTAGACTGGACGCCGGAGACTCCACTGGGTACCAGGAGGGAAAGACCCAGTGAAGCCAGGTGGGCGACGCAGCCAGATCTCCTCGTGCAGGCTGCCCTGCAAGAAAGCTGTGCTGAAGTCGAGAGAGTGCAGCTCGTAGTCACGGTGAGCAGCAACGTGCAGCAGTACCCGAAGAGTGGTCATCTTCGGGGTGGGGGAGAAGGTCTGAAAGTAGTCAACCCCCTGCCGCTGACTGAAGCCACGAGCCACGTAACGCGCCTTGAAGACAGGCGGAGAACCCGGCGGCCGCTTCACCCTGAAAATCCACATGCCACTGACGATGTTCGCCCCAGGAGGGGGAACAGCGTCAACGTAGGTGCCTGTGGACTTCCAGGAAGCCATCTCTGCATCCATAGCTGCC